TTTTTTTTAAAATGCATGTCGTTTTATACAGATGATAACATTAATAATGGATATTGAAACATTTTGCCAGTATTCATAAAAATATGAATCGGTCTTTAAATCACTAAATTTTAATATGGTACATTTCAATCATGTCATATGATACTATATTTATTTCATCGCCCGGGTGTTAAAAATCGTGATCATCCAACTGGACTATCGTGCGCTGGCGCTTCAGTCACTCCAGAATGCGTCGAAGACAGACGGGACGCGCACTCACCGCCAGTGTTTACGTAAAACGCTCATCGAAATTGAATCCTAAGTACTTTAATTTCAAGATCAACCTCGCGGTCGTCCGAAGACTTTGGTGACAATAGGCTATTGTGGAAGCTGATGACATACAATCTACGGCTGATTTAGCAACAGCTTTCGACGTTAGCATCAAAACAATATTGGTCCATTTACGTCAAATTGGCAAGGTAAAAAAACTTGACAAGTGGGTGTCCCACAAACTCAATGATCGCCAGAGCTAAGTATGCATCGAGCAGTGCCTTGCACTGCTCAACATAGTTGTAGTAGTAGTTAGTTCAGCACCTAAACAATACCCGAAACGAAAACTTACTCCTAGAAAAGTGATGGTCACTGATGGTCTAGCGCCAGTCTGATTCATCACAGGTTCTTACCAAACGGAGTGAGCATTACTGCGGATGTGTAATGTGAAGAACTGAACACAATGATGGAGAAGCTGACACATCTCCAACCAGCACTGGTCAATCGCTCATCTCCATTGCTCCTGCATTACAACGCGCGACCTAAAGCTGCACAACAGATGGTCTCCAAGTTACAAGAACTGGGGTTGGAAGCTCTCCAATATCCACCCTACTCACCAGACTACTTCTTTTCCAGAATTTGAATAACTTCTTCGCGGGAAAAAAATTCATTACCCGAGAGGCAGTACAAAATGCATTTAAAGAATTTGTTGCCACCCGTCCAGCTGATTTGTTTAAGAAGTATTTTGTGGCAGTTTATTGATGCCCAATAAACTGCCACTGCGTTGGCAACGATGCATTGATTACATGGGTGATTACTTCGATAAATACAAATAAAAAATACATGAAAAAAATCGTTTAAATTTTTTCATACAAAACGGCAATTTCAGTAAATAACCCATTAATTTATCTGATTTTGCTGAATAAATAATAATATAATCGTTGTTCCTATGCAGACTGTTATTATTAATCTAAATAAATACTTTGATATTGTGTTGTGTTTATTTATCCGATGTAAGCACCTGAGATTTTCGGTTGTTTCGATATATCCAGGTTGTTTTATCAGCCATTAATCGTCTTAGATGTAAATAAACATAAACATTTAACGATACAATTTCAATGTTATATGTCACATAAGTAAATTAGCCTGTTACTCATTTTAGTCTAAATTGGTAGTTGAGATAAATAGCTTGCTTCTATTTATTTTGGGTTTCGTTACTTCATACTTTTTGGCTTACTCTGTAAATAGAGTGCATCGTCGCTTAATTTTTTTCCCTTGTAGCCAATTGTAGTTATGAAGTCACTTAAATCATTTTTCCTGACTCTAAAAAAGGGCAGATTGTATTAAGCGACATTTATCTTTGTAATTAAAGGTCCGCTTTATTTGGAATTAGCATCAGCAACTAGATATTTTTATTTAAATTTCAATGCAATTTACCCCGTTCAAATATCTGCAGAAGCATTTTTGTTATGAATTTTTTTTCGAAATTTCAAACTTTAAAAGGCTCTCCTGTAAAGTTGCAAAAATGTCGCTTAAACCAAATAGCCCGTTACCCCTCGATTTCTATTTTCCGTTTGACCATTCATTTGGCTGAAGGATAAGGCTAAGTAAAATAAATACAATTTTTGCAAGCATAAAAAATATTGTTATTTGATTTTTTAAATTCTCTCAGTGATAATACTTGAATTTAAAATTTAATGTGATATTTTGTAATAGACACACTTTTTTATAATAGTACTCATGATATGATATGATTGAAAGAATCTATTGGAAGTACATAGATCTCGTACCCATCTGTCTGAAAATTACTTTAGTCCTGCTGCATTAAAAAAAATAGTATCTGATATAATAGGTATCTGATTACTGAATAGTTTTACACCTATGTATTATTTCGATATGAATAAACGAGTAATTTGGATATGAATGGGGTCGTCGGCAGAGGGCGCCTTGCACGGACATGTACTGACCAGATTGGCGATATATCAAAGAAGGGCCAAATTAAAAGTACCCTTAGCCGACGAGCATGCATGAAAAGACCTGTTGATGAAGCGAAAGAGGTATGTAAGAATCGTAACAATTGGCGTTCTAGTCTCTGCCTACCCTTATGGGAGATAGGCGTGAAGTTATGTATGTATTTTGTATGTATGTATGTGTAATTTCTAAAGTGATTTGCTTATTAATAACGATGGCAACTAAAGTATTTATGAAATGACACGCAAAAGATTTGAAATTGTTGAGTTATATGTGTTAGGTACCTATCTATGTTTATGACACACTCTTGTATATACATATTTTTAAACGATTTGCATAATCGTTTACAAAAACACAAGTAGGTATGTTAATAGATAAATCGTTAAAGAATTTCGATCATAAGCTTTAATATTTTAGGCCTTTTATTAGCTTTAGTTTATCATAACCAAATATATATAATGTGTCACAATATAAAAACTATTGTATTATTTGTTATTAAAGTATTCAAAAAAACCTTCCTTCCTTTATTAGCATCGATAGTTGTGTGAGTGGAATTTAAAACAATAACTACAAAGGCTTGTCAAGTCAATATTTTATTGCTTTCTCTCGTGATTTTAGAATTTCAATGAATCGACTGCCATTGTGGTTTATTTCTTCACTAGCTACTTCCGCGCGGTTTCACATGCTCTACTCAGCTCCTATTGGTCGTAACGTGATGTTTTATAGCCTATAGCCATCCTCGATAAATGCGCTATCCGACACAAAAAGAATTATTCAAATCAGACTTGTAGTTACGGAGATTAGCGCGTTCAAACAAATAAACAAAAAAACAAGCTCTTCCGCTTTATATAATAGTGTATGATAAGATTTAAGCAGTTTGGTTTTCTATAGAAATAGGAGCGTGTCGCAACGCCGTCTTGTTTAAATAAACTAATACATTTTACAAGATGGACAGACGACCTGGTTAAGGTCGCAGGGAGCCGCTGGATGCAGGTTAGTTCCAACCGGCCTATCTGGAAGTCATTGGGGGAGGCCTACGTTCAGCAGTGGATGTTTTTGAGGGGTAGAAAATCATCCAATGACTTCTCCAACGTTGGGTGATACGAGGAAAACCACCCGTTCCTAATACTGCTTTGACCGGGAGCCTCGGTAACCGGCATCGGTCGTCGGCAGCTCTTAAACGTCTTGTGGCCTACTGATGGTTTTTCTTGTTTGTCTTCAGACTGTTCACTCAAATGAATATTCACCACAGTGAACGTCTCATTTGTCATTCATCTCTCATTCTATATTAAGACAACTTTAGTAGGATGACAAAGAAATGAACGTTAATATTAATAACTTTCGTGAGACAAACTAAATTAATTGTTGTAAAAAGTATAAACAGGTACTTTTAAAACGTCAACAATTAAATAATAGTTTTCCAGTCAGTCCATCAATGAAGCTAGGTGTTCATTCCAAAATCCGAGCAAGAAACTCCATAGTAAATCTTTAAAAAAATATATTTTTATTCATTTGGCATTTGAAATTTAAATACTTGTCCTATTAAAACTACCAACAAATCACATTAGATGACATATATACATAGGTACTTGAAGTTTTAAAAAACAAAAGAAGGTTAACAAAACATCGATACGTATTTTTATTGTTACCTATAAGGCTTATATAATAAGTATTATGATGAGAAGTAAATATAAGATGACGTCACGTAATAAATAAAAAAAAATAAAATAGCCCTTTATTCAGATCCAACTAATAACTGTTACATAATTTAATATTGCCTAGGATTTGCATTACTTAGGTCTAGTATCCATAAAATACCTATTACTTATTTTTTGGAGATCTGTTTGCCGGTCGGCAAAGGCCTCCTCCAACCTTTTCCATTCTTTTCGTTCTTGAGCTACTCTGTGCCATGTAACTCCTGCCACCTGCCTGAGGTCATCATCCCATCTTTTAAGAAGTCTACCCCTTTTCCTGGTTCCTTCCCTGGGGTACCAACTGGTTACGATTTTGCTCCACTTCTCTTGCCCTCTGATCATATGCCCTGCCCATCTCCATTTCAGTCTTTTTATTTTTAATGTTACATCTGTTGTTTTTGTTTTGTATCGTATGTCTGTTTTCCTTTTTTTATCCCTTTTTTTAACGTTTATCATGCTCCTCTCCATTCAAGATCTGTCAAATAAATAAACTTGCAAGCTGCCAATACGCAATGACGTCACGTAGTTGAGAATAAAACGAATGGAATATTGAAGGAAGGAACCTTATAAGGTATATTCATTTGATTGAACAGTTTGAAGTCTGATACCACCTTTAACTTAACTTGCCACTTTTTATGACATATAACGATTACAAATAAAATCACGATTATTTTATTTTTTATAAAGTCTATATTTAGTTAATACAGTATTTGTAAGAATGTATGTACAAAAACTTGTACTGTGGTGGAATACAGTTATCAATGTTAAAAAAGTTAAGTGAAGTTGGTTTAATAGACGCTAGCGAATTTTACCGCTTTTTCAGAATTTATACATTGATAACGTAAAAATGTCATTGGATACTGGTCACTCTATTTTTATCTAGTTTTTTTTTAATAGTCTCATACCTGTTAACACCAACCTTTGTGCCATTATAAGGTCCCCCTAAGCTAAAATAGGTGACATAAGAGGTGGTTTAGGAGTAGTGAGAGAACCGGCCAAGATTGTCATGATGGTCGAGAAGATAGACTACCATGCCATCCAAGATAATGCTTAATTTTTGGCAGTTATTTATTGTCCATCCATGGCCATATTAGCCGTAATGCACCAGATACCATAATTGGGTAGTTTCCAGGATATAAAATTTAAAATCTAATTAGTCCGTCAGTTAGATAATGAAAAAATTAGACACGTATTTTTTTATTTTCTCGTATTAAGTTGCAATACTTAGATAAAATGGCGCTAAGTTTAGGAGTTGTCGTTACGTCATAACGTGCTACAAAATGTGACACGCTGTGACGTCACACGATATTTCACATTAATATATCGTCGAAAGTATTTAATTTTGTGAGAAAAGAAAAAATACGTGTCTAAAGTTTTAAATAAACTACCAGACGGACAATAAAATTAAAATAAAATTTAGGAACCTACCCTATTAACTAAGAATTTTTGTAAATCAGAAAAGCCGAGTAATTCTATATCGGCTTGTCCAACAGTCACAATGAGGTAGGATTTTATAACAATCTCATAAGAATTATGCCATCGCCTCCAACTCTTGAAGACAGAGACACCTTCCATTGTTTTCCAGGCAAAACAATACGGTGTATCATCATCATGTTACACACGCTCTTATTGTTCACAAGCACACAAACCCGTTGGTTATAATGGTTCCTGTCCATAGATGACCGGTATACTTCCTTTCACATAATGTTTTTTAAAACAATAATAATTCTCATTTAATATTTGGTATAACAATACATTCACATAATCTTATTTGATATAATAATTGTATTTTGACATAATTTTGTTTGATTATGTTAATTTGTTTGGGGTTAATTTAAAATCTTACCTAGTTTATAAGGCAAATAGTTTTTACTGTTCCATGGTAAATGCTGATTAGACGGCCCATGGATTACATTGGAACAAGTAGGTTAAGTTCGATTTAAGGTTTGATATCATTATGCGAAAAAAAATGTTATAAAACTTTATATTAAAAACAAAATGCGTCTACTCTTAAACCTGAGAGTGAATAAAACAAATAAAAATTATATCAAATGATTATTATATCAAAAATATTATAATATATGAAAACAAAACAGTTTCTATAATATAATTAAACATTACTCACGCTCTCATTGTTGACATCGCACTGGAAGCCATTGGTGACAATAGCGACTGTCAATAGATGACAGACAACATCCACCACACTTGATAGCTGGAAACACAAACATAAGTCTGTTATTTTAACGTCTTCCGTTGCTTAGCGACCGATGAGATCAGCCTCTTAAGACAAAATGGCGATTCAACGCTTGCCGAATGAAACATACAAAATCAATGTATAGGATTGACAACTCATGTCAAAATTATGTCAAACTCGTATAACTACATTGAGTCTTCTATTCTCTAGCATAGTAGCGTGTAAATTCCATTTTCAAACTGTCCACAGGTAATTTATACCGGCTGTCAGGTACATTGAACTTTGGATAGTTGCTATAATTGGGTAGTTTCCTTAATCAAAACTGTTCAATTCAATGAAATACTGAAAAATAATCACATTTTCATTAATTGATTTTATGAGCAACGTAAGTAATAAGTATGCTGTTTGACGCTAAAAAACGTGACGTCACAGTACACTATCTCGTACAAAATTCATAGACAACTGTCGTTTTGACAGTACGAAAAAAGTATTGAATTTGACTAGTTGGTGAGTACCCAATTATTCACATATTACATGAAAAAGTTAAAATTTGAATCAGGAATTTATATTCATTGTCTTTTGTTAGTTTGGTATCTCGAAATTTTAAAGGTCACAATGAGTAAAAAGTTATTGTTTAAAAGTAAAAATGATTTCAATTTCTTAAACGAATCAAGTCTCCTATCTTATCCCTGTTTATTATTCAGTTTAATAAAATAGTTATCATTCTGTTAAAATTCTCTTTGTAAAAGGATATTATAAATCTGTCGAAACTTGAAATCGATTTTTGACAAACACTTTGATTCCCGGTTCGGGCAAGTATTGGTTTAATTTTTTTTAAATCGTTGTAGTAACACGGTGTCTGGAAATGTGCCCGGTATATGGCAATAGGCTCACCCCCTATTACATGGGACTCATAACATAAAATAGTGAAAAGTGGGTGTTACATTGTACAGTGGCTTTAAGTGGCATAATATGCCGTTCTTCCTACCACTTCGGGGAAAAAAGCGTGAAGTTATGTTACTTCCACACTTCATACTATACATACAAAGATCAAAACTACAATAACTTTTCAATAACCCAACCGCAAAATCTTTCAAGGAAACATTACAGTTATTATTAACCCATGTTATTCGAAAACAGGGTATTATTATATATGGAATATGATCTGGCGATGTTATTGTAAACACGGTACACATCAATCAAAACCAGTATAAACTGAACGTCGAATATGCGGAACAATCATACAAAGCGAGGTCACGATAAACTGGTTTTGTATAGCTTGTACAACGTATGTTAGATCTTTCATCAATGGTGTTTGTATATCGGTGATGAATTTAGTTACATCTTACATAATATTATTATAGTGTTGATTTACTCGCTTCATATAAACATACTGATAGAAAACTCTAATCATAATACATAGTAGAGTATACACGCCTATTCGCGTCCAACCCCCAGTTTGTGTTCATTTTACTGATCACCATGAATGTAAGATACTGAAAATGGGAAAGATCCAACCGATATGTGTTAACTAAGCTACATGGTGTTGAACATCAAAAGTTCTTTAGTTTTTTTTATGGCATAAACCGGTAAACGAGCAGACGGATCACCTGATGGTAAGCAATCGGCGTCGCCCATGGACACCTGGAACACCAGAGGCGTTACAAGTGCGTTACAGGCATTTTCGGAATGTGATCCACAATATTCATTCCTCTAGCAACAATATTGCCGATTTCTGCGAGTGAATCATGAGTAGACAAAGGATGTTGTTTAACAAGAGATTTTTTTAAATATTTTTTTCATAACTAACTATTGGAATCTGTCCGATCACCTGGTGCCATTTGATCATCGACTTCAGGGACACCTTATTATTTTATTATTATTTATTTATCTTTAAATCACACAGGTAAGTATGTTATAATTTAAGCCTTACAAAACCGTTGCAATGGTTTGACTGTGGGGTCCAGTGACTAGGCATTACAATTAAATATAAGTAGGTACTTATAAATATTAAACAGGCATTGAAACTTATGTAGAATTTAAGACATTTCTAGGTAATATGACTAATTTACGTTTAAACCTATATGAATTTGCTTCACTGCTTATGTCTGTCGGCAGACTATTCAATAGATATGGTATTCTCTTTTTTAGTGTTCTATCACCAAAATAGTTGGTGACTCAGGATACATTGAATCTACCAGCAGCCAAAGTTCTACCGGTATGGATAAAATACAAATATTTACCAGTACCACCATCTATTTAGTGTACCTAGCTACATTAACAATAATAATAATAATAATAATAAATAAGTTTAACGAAAGTTAATGTAATTTTAATAGGACAAAATAATTATTAACATTCAACAATGTATGTATGTGTGCACATTTATATGTATATGTGTTCGTGAAGTGGGTTTGCGGTTAGAAAAATTGACTGACATGCTTAAGGAGCTCACACACTGTTTCAAAGCTCTGTCTGCTAAAACAGGTACACTTACCTGATCACTTTCTTTCTTATAAAAAAATATTTAACTTTTCACACATTATGCACTATCATGAACCACATATTTGTGCTAACTAGATTTATATCAAGACAATGTCAAGATAAACTCTGGATTAGAGAGGTGATGACGCGATATTATCAATTTATCATATAGCTAGGTGACTTTTAAAGAACAATCGAATATAATATTTTAATCTGGCAGATTCAAAACTACATAAGCACAATCCTTTACATCAAAATCTTTAGAACAAGAATAAGATTATTTATTCGCACGAAGTATGGTAATTACAGGTAATAATAATTATAAAAAAATAGTCCCACATACATCGCCTACTATTTTCGGGATGCAAAGTTAAATTTTACAATATAATAAAGTCAAAATCTTACATTTAATAACACCAATTACAACCTTCTTTTAAAAAAACATCGTACTGTAATATATTTCTCTGTAACTTTTGACCCACTGAAGCAAGATAAGCAGATGAGCCATTCAACAGTATGTTGTCTCCTTAACAAACGCGACGAAACAGGAAATTATTTTTATCATCACTCTCCGCTTCAAATATATGAACTTGTAGAATATTAAACCAGAAATTGCCTCGTGAATTTTATTTTTAAATTGAACGATGTTTTATTATGATTATGAGTCAAACATGTCATGTCATGCAAGTGGGTGTTTCTGATTAGAAATCGTTGTTTTTATGACATTTTCCTCCTTTCTCTAGATGTACTACATACTGGTATTTATCCTTAAAGAATATTATGGCTACTAAGGACAAGACTTTTATAATATTATCTATGTATGCAAGTAGAATTTGCATAAACACATAACATAACATCACGCCTTTTTATCTAATGTGTATTTCAATTATTGTGTTAGGCACATTACGGCACTTAATACCACTGTATAATGTAACAACCACTTTTCACTATTTATGTTATGAGTCCCATGTAATAGGGGGTGAGCCTATTGCCATATACGAGGCACATTTCCAGACTCCGTGCTACTACTGAGATTTTTTTTATGTAAAAACCCAGTAATACTTTGCAAGACCCGGGAATCGAACCGAGACCCCTTGCCCTATAGTCACACTTGCGACCACTCGGCTAACCAGTGGCGTGCAGTCCATATAGGCGAAAAGGCTTTGCCTACCTATAAATATCGTGAATATATAACATACATAAAATGTACAAACGCGTTTATTAAAATTCAATAATATAATAAAAGTTTGTAAAAAAACGGCTAACATAAATACGCGCCTTTGTAAAGTAATGAATGCGCCCCGCACGCACCACGCATGCGCCACTATTCCTTAAATCTTGGTTGGTAGTAGTGACGTCACAAAAGAAATGTACCAAAAGTATGCACCGCGCATGCGTGAAGTTCACGACCATAGTCACGGTACAGAATAACCATTCATAATTATATTACACGATTCCTGTTGATTGACAAAATGTTTGCAACTAAAAAATTAGAGGACCGTTCGTTCATCACTTGGAAAACGATCGTATTTTATTAAGAATTCTAAAACAATAAAACAGCAACAAGTTATTGTATTTTTAAAAACAATTAAATTATAAAAGGTTTTAAATTGATAAAATCTGTATATCGTAAAGTACTGATGAATGGAGTACATCAGCGCCATCTATTGAATTTTTTGTTGAAACTTCTGAACTCGTTCGATATAATGCGAATGTATTTTTATAAATGCGTATTTAACAAATATGTTTCAAGTGTTTTAATTAAAGCTTAACATTTTTACGCGTTGTCGGTTTATAGAAATTTTAAACGAGGAGTTGACTTTATTATTATAAAAGTTAAAAGGAAGTTATTGAAACTTCAAGATGGCGCCATTTACAACGTTTCAAATTATATGAATGAATGTTTTTTAGTATGAAATATTGGTTTAAGACGATGATGCAATTTCATTTGACTTACTAAATTAACCTTTGTTTTTTTTAAATTAAACGCTGCATTACCTTAATTTTTAAGCTACATTTTTTTATAATAAACACTCAATTGACTATTGGTAATGACTTCAATTCGTTTCCAATGTTTTCGGCCATATTGTTTTCATGTGATGTGCGATCGCTTTGTTTATGTTTTCGTTTAAATTATTAGGAATTAGTTTTAAACATAAAGTTGCATAAATGTGTAGTAGTAGTTAAATATATGTGTAGGTTTTTCAAATAGTGTATTTGTTTATCAGTTTCTAGTACAAGTACCTATATTATTCGATTGTGAAGTGTGTGTGAATAATAGGTAATTTTATGTGTTTGTTGAAAGTAAAAACAGTAAGATTTCGCAAGAAAATGTCCTTTATCGGACTAGATTCAGGTAAAGACCATAGGCAGAGGTGTACTCGAGTTACGAGAATTGACCCAAGTAAAAGGTAGGTAATGTAAATATGTACTATAATGGATCTTTTATTTGACTTTCTTGTTTATTGTTTGATAATTCTTAAAAATATCAACTTAGACTTCGGGTTGTACTGATTCACATATTAATTTATTAT